GCCAGCTTTTAAATCCCCCCTTTCCCCCCACACTTCCCTCCAGCTGGCAGGGCCCTTCTCTCTCTCCCCCAAGTCTCTCTCCGCCCCACCACCAGGTGACTTCTCTCTCCCCCCAACTTCCCCAGCCGCTAGGGGCCTTCTCTGTCCCCCCAACACCTCCCACTGCCAGTGGCCTTTTCTCTACCTTCCTGGTGCTGCAGGCAAGGGAGTGGGAAAGGGTTTGGGGCAGGGAAGCTATTTATCTGATCTGGTTGCAGGCAAGATAGTGAGCAGCCAGCCCTCCTGGCCACTCTCTTGGTTGGGCAGCTGTCCCACGTGGTCATTTTCCGGTATAGCTCTCCCCTGAGCTCATTGCCCTCTGTGGCAACTCTCAGGCTAGTACCTGCTCTCTGTGCCGCCTCCCTCTGAATGTAATGGAAAACAGTCCCATTCCTGACACTTCCCATTTTCCTGGTAGAACCAAAGCCTGGCCCTGCTTTAAATTAGGAGAAGAGGAAGCTGCCTACCAAATGTGGTGTTCCTAGCTGGTAGTGTTTTGGAGAAGTTCTTGGACAAATAGACTCTCATTCAGACAGACATTTCTAAAATATATAGCTAGATCTTGTAAAAGTCTCTAAAGCACTGAATAGGTACTTGTGCTGTATGATGAATGCTTAAATTAATATCTAAATAAACAAATAAATAGATGCTAACTCTAGCCAGAAAAGGGAGCAAACTGTTCACAGGGACAGAAAGCGAATGGGACTATATGCGTCTTCAGACATTAACGTGAAAACTAAAACGAGTCGTCTGTTTATTAGAATGTGGTATAAATACAGGATTACTGTGACATATTATGCAAAAGTAAGTTTGTGCGTCGTTTCAGAATGAGGGAATAAAGCGAAGAAGTTTTATTCCATGTGCAACCAGTTTGTTTTGTGATTAATGGATCGTAGAGAAGAGTTCAGCATCACAGTATCTCTCAGGTCAGACAAAATGAGGTTTGCATCTATATTTGTTTCGTTAACAAGTAATACAGACGGGAGATTAAAGATGCTGGAGGTTAAACACACTGACCAAACGCGACTGCTGCAGTTATTTCCTGAGACTCTGAGCGTCGCTGCTCACCAATGCGGGAGAGAGACGCTGAGCGATCGGCCCCGCCCGGCTGTAACAGCTCACACAGCGGACACAGCAGACACTACGTAACCGCCAGGATACAGCATCGCAGCCCTAGATGCCGTGGGGAAGCCCCTGACCCAGGAACTAGGGATCGCACCGCGGGATTCTGTAAATCGCTTTGTATTGATACAGTCCTGGCAGAAGGCTCCCAGGCATCTAGTCCCACAGCGAGAGATGGCGGCTATCAAAAGGCTCCGGCACTGCTGCGGGCGCCTCCTCTTCTGCTTCCTATTTCTTACCGTTTGGGACGCACTTGCTGGGTGCGTTCGCTATTCCATCCCGGAGGAGCTACCAAAAGGCGCTTTCGCGGGGAATATCGCTCAGGACCTGGGGCTGGATACGAGGGAGCTCTCAGGCCGCGGAGTGCGCCTTGTTTCCAGAGGTAGGACTCAGTATTTTGCGTTGAATTTCCAGAGCGGTTATTTGTACCCCACGGAAAGGATAGACAGGGAGCAGATCTGCGGGCGGCTGGAGAAATGTCTGTTACATTTTGAGGTTCTGGTTGAGGATAAAGCTAAACTTTTCGCTGTTGACGTTGAAATAACGGATATTAACGACAATGCGCCCCGCTTCCAGGAAGCTCAGTTCGAATTTAGAATCAGTGAGTTAACCGCCGTGGGAACCCGGTACCCGCTGGAGGAGGCGCAGGATCCGGACGTGGGCACCAATTCCCTGCAGGGGTATCAGCTCAGCAGCAACGAGCACTTCTCTCTGGAGGCGCAGGCGGGAGCCGATGCGGACGGACACCTGGACCTGGTGCTGCAAAAGCCTCTGGACCGGGAAGAACGAGCCGTTCACGATCTAATCCTCACAGCCACGGACGGGGGGGATCCCGTCAGGTCCGGCACCGCGCGGGTCCGCGTCGTTGTCCTGGACGCCAATGACAACGCGCCAGCTTTCAGCCAGCCGGTCTATACAGTGAGTGTTCTGGAAAACGTGCCCGTCGGGTCCCTGCTGCTGACAGTGAACGCCACCGACCCGGACGAAGCGATGCACTCGGCGCTCACCTACTCGCTCCGGAAACTGAAAGACAAAGCGTCGCAGGTGTTCCGCGTGGACGCCAGAACGGGAGAAATATCGACGGCGGGGAACCTGGACTATGAGGAAGCTGCGTCGTATGAGATGGAGGTTCAAGCCAAGGACAGTGGAGACCTCTCGGCCAGGTCCAAAGTCCTGGTTACTGTGATCGATGTCAATGACAATGTGCCGGAAATCACAGTCACCTCCCTCACCAGCTCAGTGAGTGAGGACAGCCCGCCGGGAACTGTGATCGCCTTCATAAACCTGCAGGACCTGGATTCAGGCCCGAATGGAGAGGTCACGTGCTCCATCGCAGCCAATCTGCCGTTCCGCTTGCAGAAGACATTGGACAATTACTACAGCTTGGTGACTGACAGAGCCCTGGACCGGGAGCGGGTCTCGGGTTACAATGTGACGGTCACAGCCACAGACCGCGGGACTCCCCCGTTATCCTCCACCACAAGCATCTCAGTGCAACTTTCGGACATAAACGACAACGCGCCCATCTTCAGCCAGACATCCTACACTGTGTCCATCCCCGAGAACAACCCCAGCGGGGCCTCCGTGTGCTCCGTGAGGGCCACTGACCGCGACTGGGGGGAGAACGCCCGAGTGACTTACTCTCTGCTGGAGGGCGAGGGCCGCGAAGCTCCGCTCTCCTCCGCCGTGTCCATTAACTCGGAGACCGGGGCTGTGTACGCGCTGCGCTCCTTCGACTACGAGCAGCTGCGGGAGCTTCGGTTCCGGGTGCAGGCTCGGGACGGGGGGTCCCCGCCGCCCCGCCGGCATGTCTCCGTCAGGCTCCTGGGGCTGGACCAGAATGACA